ATAGGCCACAGCAACCACTTACCAACAGGTGGACTGTGTGCTCGTTTTTCAAGCTTATTCTATAAAAAAAAAAGTTGTCATCGTTGTGAAAATAGGTCAGAACGGATCATTATCAATTTATAGATATTTGCTTTAAAGCTTAGGCACAATTTATTATTTAGAAAATGTTTCTTCAAGGCTAGTAAACCTAATAAATTAGTACTGTTAGGTCTCAAAGACAGATAACATTTTACTACTATAATTTACTGTAAACTAAATTCAGATTTGTATAAGGATGAGCCTAACATATATCACAAACTATCAGATTGAAATGATCATTATGGCGCATAGACCCTAAGGTATTTCAGTCAGCTTGGTATTTACATATGTTTTTTATTTGTTTTTAGGGTTCCGTACCTCAAAAGAAAAAAACGGAACCCTTATAGGATCACTTTGTTGTCCGTCTGTCTGTCTGTCTGTCAAGACCCTTTTTCTCAGGAACGTGTGGAGGTATCCAGCTGAAATTCATATTAAATACTCAAGGCTACTGTCCCTTGGAGCTGTGAAAAAATCAAACTTCTAAGCCAACGCAATCAAAAGATACAGCCGTTTATGCCGCAAATTTTCGACATTCGCAAGGGAATCAAAACCTACAGGGTACTTCCCGTGAACTCAGAATCTTAAAATTTGATACGAAGCAACGTATTATAGCACAGATAAAGGAAAAATTGCGAAAAGCATAAATTTTTGGTTACATAATATAATAAAAATATTTTTAGTAATTTTAAACATATATACCTACGGATTTGTTCGGAACCCTCGTTGCGCGAGTCCGACTCGCACTTGGCCGATTTTTTTTTACATTACATTTAGAGGTATAGTTGTAGCACGAAAAGGTCGGCTCATCCGGGGAAGGACAACGCTCTCACAGAATACCAGCGTAAAATAGCAGCTCTATGCTGCTGTGTTTCGTATGGTGAGTGTAGAGAACCGGAGACCCTTTTTACTAGAAACGAGGCATTCCGTCTTAGTCCTCAAGGGTCAAAACGTCAACAACAAAAACTATTATCTATTTAGCGTCTAGAACTAAAAAAAGTAAAATAATTTCGTGTTGTGAATATTATCGTACTTTTTATTTTCAAAGTAAACATAAACACTCACTCACGCCTGTCACCCAGAGGGGTAGGCAGAGATTATGGACTTCCATTTGGCACGATCCTGACACACCTCTCTCGCTTCCTCCACATCCATATACCTACGCATACACGCTCGTCGGTTAAAGGTACTCCTAATTTGGCCCATTTTTAATATATCGCCAATTTGGTCGATAAACTTTCGCCTAGGGCGACCCTTCCCGACTATGCCGTTCACCTCTGCAACATAAATTTGCTTTGTCACTCTTTCCTCATTCATTCTTTCTACATGGCCAAACCACCGAAGCATTCCTTTCTTAATCCTGGTCACAACATCATCTTGCAAACCACACTCTTCTCTTATTAAACAATTTCTCACTCTGTCATTTAGCTTTAAGCTTTCAAAGTAAAATTTTACAATAATAAAAAAAAACAAATTGTTTAATTATAAAACTCGTTTAAGAAACAGCTTGAAAGCGATCACCTCATTCCCAGTAGTTATTAACAACTATGTATTCATTTATACTATAACAACCCTTTTTATAACTTTTGTTTAATAAACTATTTTAACGTGACTTTTTAGGGTTGCCATAAGATTAAATTAAGGACATAGGATCAAATTAAGGATATCATAATATATCATTTCAAAGAAAATTCTGTTATAGTATCAATAGCAACATTTATTAATAAAAAAAAACAACAATATTGATACGCAATGTAGTTTGTATCACTGACATCGCGTGTCACTTCAAAGTGATTTTTAAACTCTTTGACCTCAACTAGCAAGGCGCTGTGTTCACACGCGTTATTTTTATAGAAGAACGATTAACGTACACACTGTCCACCTCATATTTCATATGTTGATGTTTTAGCCCATAGTTACCTATCACCGGTTATAATTAAAAATTAAAATCAGCATGAGAATTACTTTTTTACGTGGTAGAGCCATGCTACAGCTATGTTATGGTTATAGCACGAATGGGTCGGCTCGACCGGGGAAGGACCACGCTCTCACAGAATACTAGCGTAAAATAGCAGCTTAACGCTGCTGTGTTTCGTATGGTGAGTGTAGAGAACCGGAGACCCTTTTTACTGGGACCGAGGCATTCCATCTTAGTCCTCACAGGTGACAACGCATCTGCATTTTGATTCGTAATCGTAAATGTTTATGGGCCACAGCAACCATCTTACTTACCATCAGGTGGACTGTGTGCTCGTTTGTCACTCTTATCATATTAAAAAAAGGAATAAAATGGAATACATCGTTATCAGTAAAAGAGTCTCCACTTATAGTCTACCTCTCAAGTATACATAAGCAGCTTGCATATGTAACTCTTAAGGTCTAAAGCTTTGGTTTCCTAGGATTGCGATGCTGCTACATGACGGTCGTAATAATGCGGTGAATGACGTCACGATAACATTGTCTATAATATAATTTTGCCGCAAAATAGAAAAAAGCGATTATGCCTTGTCCTCTATTAAATATTTCAAATTAAGTGACATGTACATTTTTGGGTCTGAAATAAAGGACTTCTGGCAACCCTAACGCTAACTTCGAAGTAAAACAGCTTTTACTTCGAATTTTTATAAAATAACGCTACTGAACCGTTTAATCAATTACACGCGTAATTATATTGAAGAGATGAAATCTCAATTTGATGAATCTGGTTCAATAGTTACGGTAGACGTTGAATTACGGTCATTTCGTATTGACAGTGCCTGCCGCTCAAAGTAAAATTTTAAACATGGCTATCAGATTGGATTGGATACAAATTGGATTGGATGGTACAAAAAAATTAATATAATTTTTAATACGGACCAACTTATCAGTTTTTACATTGTAATTCGATTCTGATCTATGTTCAAAATTTCAAGTCTCTAGCTCATCGGTAAGTTAGTTTAAAATCAATTACTAAAATCGACCGACACACGAAAACGAGTTAATAACATGTGGTAAAATTAAAATTTTTGTACAACCGACTTCACCTATAAATAAAATAAGAACATCATCAATGTAGTCGAAGTCAATTAAATACGCATTATCAAGGATAACTCAAAAACTACTGGTCAGATCTTGATCAAATTTATATGGAACCACGTGAGAAGCAGCAGCTTTAAAATTAAAAAAAAAAACATTAAAATCGGTGCATCTATTCTGAGGTAACACACATAAAATATACAGTCAAATTGACAACCTCGTCCTGTTTTGGAAATCGTTTAAAAACGTGATAAAGCATATACAAAGCAGCTTATTTAATGACTGACCTTTAAAGAACTAAATCGTTGAGAACCTAATATACTAATACGGTTCTTACGTTATTATAATGAAGTTTTGTCTCACAAGTACCTATATAGATTGCCCCAGTAGGGCTAGCATGGGCAGGAGACAATTTTATCCCCGGGGAAAGGAGAAAATGTTTATCACCTCGCTTAGTTTCATCCACCATTCAAGCATGGGCATACTGGTGAATATAATGTTCAAAGGAGATAAAATGGGAGACGACTTACTACTTAAATAGATTTTTTGTATGAATATAAACTTAAACCCACGTCCAATGAACTAGGATAAAATTGTCCCTTTGAAATATCTAAAAAGCATAATTCTTTATCTTTTTTGACATTTTTCTCCATGCTACGGACGGGCGATATATGTCTACTCGTTATGTCAAACGGGGATATTTGGCATAAGCACAAGATAATTTTATCTCTTGTCAGTGGATATAATCGGGGGATATTTTTTTTGTTCCCAGCCCATGCTAGCCGTGCAGTAAGAGAATCATAAAAACTGGTTGTATAGTTTTCTGCAAACAACGAACACATTATACAAACAAAAACATACGAGGGACAGAGAGAAAAAGAACTTCCTTTAATCTTTTGTTTCTTTAATATAGAATAGTACTATTATGCGCTTATTATAGGAATGTGAATGTGTTTACTGACGACAACTTCACTACTTAAACGTCAACCTTCAAACATCTGACACGCCGCCATTTTATGATTGTGATTTCGTTTATTTTAAGGCAAAAACAATAAAATGCGATCAATACATATCCATTTTATTTATTTTATACTAGCTGTTCCCCGCGACTTCCCCCGCGTGTTATTTGGGGTTTTTTTTTTTGCGCGTTACAGACACTTTTATTTTATTTATTTGTATAGATTAAGTTTTATTTTTGGAATACCTAAGGCCCGGCTACACGCTCAATCTTACTTGGACAATTCTAATTTGCACAAGCAAGCATGTACTTAACTATGTTAAGCCGGCAAAGCGGTATACCGTGCAAATGGCTTGCACAAATATGTACTTAATTTGCTCAAACTAAAGTTGCACAAGCAAGCATGTACGTTAAGACGACGTGTACCTAGATACCAAACATGTTCTTTGCGAAAACTTTGTACAAACTGTTTACGCATGCAAGACACTATAGTGTGGACGTTGTGCAGTGCACCATGTTGGTTGCGCAATTTTTTGTACAAATTGTTTGCAGAAGCAAGTCGCCGCGTGTAGCCGAAGCTTTACACTTGACTTCTTACGTTATTGTGTTGTAACACGTATTTTGTAAGCCTTTTGGAGATCCTCAAAATTGTTAATTAGACATAAATAAATTTATTATACTGGCTTACTAGATCGAATATGGAATAAGTACCTACCTACTACATTACCCTGTTACCTACCTAAAACAGGAAGTATTAAATAGGCAGAGCATCCACTGTAGAGCGCATATAGCAGCTAATTCTTTCACCGTATTTAAAACTTATAATAGGTACTTCCGCGATCAGTGAACATTATAATTACATATTTTTTTCTTTAAAACTGCTCCGATTTTATCACCTGAATTTACACATTCTTCGTTTCTCAACCTTAATGTGAATGTTCCGAGCACTAACCTGTTTTTTCAGGTCGGTGAGGTCCCCAGTCAGATCCAACTCGAGGTCGTCTCGTTCCGCCACGCAGAGAGCTAGTTTCTTCACTATCACCTTCCGTGGGTCATTGGGTTCTGTGCCGAAATATATATGAAATTAGCGTAAAGTAAAATTACAATTGTGCCGACATTTCTAAACTTTAGCCGGCGGAAAATAGGTACTCCTGTTTAGGAATCGCTCTGAACGCAGAGCGTCAATGGGACACACATATAACTAAACTTGCAAACATACATAGTTCTGCAACATGCTGTAAAAAAGAGAAGAAACCTTACTCTTGCTGTAGAAACCTTACTCTTGCTGAAACAGCTAGATTAGTTGGATTTGGTTATTTCCATAGCATAATATCCTTTGGAATCTTTCTATGAGATAATGGATAGGACACTGAAACTATCAGAATAGATCCAACAATTCAGCAGAAGAGAAGCAAAAGAAATAAGTATTAAAACCGAAGTCTCTTAGATACAAATTTAAAGAAATAATTTGAAAATATATAATGTATAATATTTTAACATATTGTATGTACACAAAATAATATGAGGGGTAAAGACGGGAACACGGGATGTATGTTTACAGTTACTAATTTTTCCTGGACATGGCCTCCGTGTTACATATTTGAGCGGGGGAGGGGGGGGGGGGGGGGGGGGGGTCATTGCGTATTTGGTGATGAAGGCCGTGGAGAAGCGCACTTCACCTGAGGAGAACTAGAGGGAGCAGTTGTCCGCACTAGAGGGGCCGCTGAGGGTCGGCCGACACTGGTCGGTGTTGCGGATGTGTGTAAATCGTTCCCGTGACCTTGCTAATGTGCGGCTAAGATGGAACTAAAGGAACTAAATGAAATGAGGATTAGATGGTGCGAGTCTGACATAACCCGACCTTGCCATTGCGAGGCGGATAGGCCTAGACCTTTCACCATAGAAATAAAGACGTTTAAAGGTGGACCAACTTTTGTTTTCGTAGCAGTTAACAAGCAACTTTTGACACCAGGGTTGGCTTAAAGGTTAAATTTGGATCCTGGTTATGAAACGAAAATTGATCGACAAAACTAGGATCAATATATTTTGCACGCCGTCTACCTACCTCTAATTGCACTGTGTTCCTCCTATCGCAGAATTTAATCACCTTGAATTTTAAACAACACTTCGAAAGTAGGGTTACAGCAAGGAGGGGTCGATAGTCGAGATTACAAAGGGGCCGAGTTTATAGTGGGGAACAGGTAGGTTTGTATGCTTAGTCGAAGGGTGAAATGTGATGAAAATTATATTGTATATATAAATGGTAATAATAAACAGCATGAAGAATTTCTTTATATATTTTTTTTTCGCAAAGTTACCCTCATACTAGAATTTTGTCCTAAATCGTGGAGGTTTTTTTGCACATAAATATCAAGGAAAAATATCCAGACCCGAAACTAACACTGTTCGTTCGGGATTCGAACCTGCGGTCCTTCAACGCCGCAACCTAACACGCTACAGAGCCGTCAAATAATTCTATGACGCCTTAAATGTTTTTTTTATTCTTTTAAAAACGTTCCCCTCGCACTGGGGTTTTCTCTTGTATCTTGAAGGCAGTTTACCACACATTTCACAAGGATAAACATCCAGACCTGGAACAATTATTTGTTGACCATAAAATATACTTCTGTCGTGCGGGATTCGAATGCGCAGTTCTCAGCGCCGCAACTCAATGCGTTACGGAGGCGTCAAACCAAGGTCAACCAAATCAAGGTCGCTAATAACCTTTTTAACGCGCCTTTTCATTGAGTTCCTACGCCATCAGCACTCAGTGATCCTGCCCGGCAGAGATGGCTAGTCTTCGTTAAGACTAAAATTGGGACTGGAGGGACATTATTGGACAATTTGCTTTTCCGAGATTAGGCCAAATGGCATGCTTGTTCAAAAGTTCTAGAATCTACACTATGTAAGGCTGGTTGGTGAGCCCTGCAAATACATGTATCTTCATCAGTCTGTAACGGTACATTTCTGGACACGGGCCCCTCTCCCATCACAGAAACTGTTTAGCAGCATGTTTGCAGGTGCGTTGCCGGCCTTTTAGAAAGGAGTAAGCTCTTTTCTTGAGGTTCCCCAAGTCGTATCGATACGGAAAATTCGCCGGTGGTAAGCTATTCCACAGAGAGGTCGTACGCGGAAGAAAACTCCTAGTGAAACGTACAGTGGTGAACCGCCAAGTATCCAGATGGTGTGGATGGTATCGCGAATTTTGCCTTCGAAGGTTTAATTTGAAACATCGAAGTTTTTTTTATTTGATTAACCTTAACCTTTGAAATACATCATTATGTTTATATAGGTTTATTCTTATTTTTCAAAGAGTAGACAAATTTTAAATTTAAATTAAAATATATGAATAATGATTTACAGTTTTTGCAGTTTTTAAAAATACGAGTAAATAAGGCTTCTACTTTTATTTGAAATAATCCGAAATTGAATGTGATTTATAGGCAACTACTACGCGTAATTTTGCTACTCTGTGTCCGATTCATTCACAATGTTTTGCCGACCGATCGATATTTACGAATGTGTGCGTGCGTAATAATATAAGAGTAGGGGCACGAAAGTCTAGCGGTGACCGTTATTGCGCATAAGTCGCGCTGATTGGCTTATTGCGCATAAGTCGCGTTGATTGGCTCGTGCGTATCGTTCGCACACTAATAGCATTCGTGCAATTCAATTCGTGCGCGTGCCTTCCAGGTATCGTTCAGCACTAGACTTACGTGCCGCGACTTGTAGTAGGAGTTACATGTTTATGAATGACAATTAGTTAACATAATGCATTACCGTTATTACATTTAGATGTATATATATATATATATATATATATATATATATATATATATACAGGGTTTTCTTTTATATATATATATATATAATTTTGTATATGAAACTAGTACATGCGTTTGCTATCACACAGAGTCATTGACTATTAAATTTGTCAAATTTACTATCAAAGCCTATCTGTTCTTGTGATTAGTGTTATCAGTGTTGTTTATACAAACACTTTTGATCTACATAAAGCCCTGTCAGCATATTTAACCACCATCATCTACTCTCTTTTCATTGTTGGACATGGCATTTGTGATGTGGTAGCGCCACACTTTCCCTGTACTGGTGGCTAAGAGAAAACCATCAATCCTTTTTTGTACCATGAGTGTCAAAGGACTCGATTAAGGTATATGCTGGAAAGATGTAGCTTTCAATAGATGGCGGTATAATCTCATGTACGCCAGACATAAAATACCCAATCCAGTGTCAAAGGTGCGACACATTGATCTGCCATTCTAACGACGCGATTAAGGCAAATGTTTTCTATAACGGAAGAGATCCATGTTTAGCAGCAGACTTTTAACAGCTAATGAAGTTGAGCCATGCACAAATAAGCTACCACTGGGGAAGGACCACGTTTACACAGAATACCAGTGTAAAATAGCAGCTTAATGCTGTTGTGTTATACATGGTGAGTGACAAGAATGAGAGCTCCTTTTTATTGGCAGTGTGGTGTTCTATAGATAGAGATAGTTCTATAGGAGTAGACTCGTCAGGAGTGACGCCAATTGACGAAAATTGGTGTAGGTGTGGAGCCTATGGATCAGTATCCACTTACTAATGCTTCCCTTTACTAATTTGTGAAATTTGGGTCATCAGTATTGCATGGAATTTTTTTGCCATCAGTAATCCAGACTGTTACAGACTGACGGAAGATATAATTCGATTTAACTAAGAATAGAAATGTCAATGACCTTGATCTGTCAAGTGTCACTTGTGTAAAGTACAGCTCGCAAAGAAAGTTAATTTGCGTATTAACAACTCTTTTTTTTCCCCTACTTTATTTAACTGAATATATTTTATTATTTACGATATTTAACTAAATCTATTAGTCATAATTAGTTTTAAAAATAATTAAAACACTTTTTTTTCTATTTTCAATATTGGCAAAGGTATTTGAAGACAATAATAATAGATATATAAATATAAATACAGGTAATAAAATGCTTATTTTTCTTTTCAATCACAGACAGTGTAATATTTTAAGTAGCTACAAGAATCCATGTACTTTTTTATTGGGGAGATTATTTCATAAATTATGCAGCAGTAATTCTGACAATAATGATAATGAGTACTCAGACATTGATGCAGAGATGAGCAGACTGAAAGTGCTAGATTCAGATTAAAACTTTTTCAGGTCCTTTGAAAATAAATATTATTTCAAGAATATCTGTTTTGCTCACCCTAATTAACTGGTTAGAATTGACAACTAAGACGTCACAATATGGTGCAAGATCATTCCTATTCTTATTTGGATAGCATTGTTGGTGTATTATAAGGAAAGATATGTAATGTAATATCAGCAGCATTATGTCCCAGGGCTCACCAACCAGCTCTCTAACATAGTGGTATGGGAAGAACTCTTCAAGTAATGAGTGCCAGCTAGCCTAATCTCAGAAAAGCCTTTGTACAACAATGTCCTTCATCCAGAATTTCAGTCAAGGTGGCCAATATCAATGAAGACAAGATATCTTTGCGGGGCATGATTACAGTGCACAAGTGTGTGCAAGTACAGGTGAACTTCTTATTCCTCACTCGCATGGTACGATGAGATGGTAATCTGACATGACCTGAAAGGGACCAGGCACATGACCAATGGCTTGATGTACTTTTTAAGACCTAGGGTTAAAACAATGTCAGCTTCCTTACTCCAGGCTGCTCATGAGAATTTCTTGAAAGAAAAATGCAATAACTGATGTTGGCCCAGCCCAGGAACTGAACCAACGACCACGTGAACAGTGGTCACGATTACATCCACTATACTACTATATTATTGGTAGCCATATACACTCTAGAGTGTAACTGACATTTGAACTGTACAGGTAAACCGGAGCATGTCTATTGCAAAACCACTATGCGTATGTCCACTTTTCAAGTTTACCTGACTGTACAGACAAACCTAACAGGTACACTCTAGTGTGTAGCGCTACCTTAAAAGTGTGTGGTGTACTTGATTAAATATATTAGGGAAAACATACCAACAATAACAGTTCCAGCCTGAGCCTGTCCCAATAATGCTTCTTTGTATTTCCTTAAGGATTCGTCTTCTTGATCAGCTGCTAATATTTCTTCAATTGTTTTCTCTGGTGGCGGTTTGTAAGAGGATTTGATTTCTTCTTCTTCAGTCTCATCTCCTTCAGGTGTGCGCGCGACCTCAGGCTCACCAGACATTTTAGAGATTCTGAAAAGAAAATACTTGTTATGACATAAAATTAAAACTCAAGTAGAAGATATCATGTATATGTGTTTAGAAAGGGTTGCATTGAAAATGTTATTAAAATATAATCCATTTCTGAATATAATATGAATATAACTATATAATTCACTGTAACTTTTTTTTTTCACTTTAATTACTATAACAGGAATTATAGAGCCTCTAGTTTCCACTCTAGACACTACCAAAAACATTGTCTATATTGTCTGTTGTTACAGCCTTTTGGTTTCCTTACACCAAGCATGTAGTTTATCAAGGCTTTAAATTGTAATCAACCATTTTTTTTAAATTGTCTGATTGATCATGCCTAGTTTCCTGGCATACTGTGACATTTACAGCAAGTAGTTAGTCTCTGAGCTTTGTTTTACTTAATATAAGTCACAATCCTACCTGGCGGTAAGTGGTATTTATTGGTTATTTAGCTTAATAAAAGCCTATTATATATTTAGTAAGGGATTTTTAATTGTAGCATGTCTATCCATTATATTATAAAACAAACTTAGTCTATAGACATAGCCTTTGAGATGCCAATTTATTTGTGTATAAAACAAGAAAATAGACAACCCAAATACTAAAATTTAAGACATTAGTAGAATTATGATCATCAAAACCATCTGAAAATCCTAATACTAAATATAGATCAGTGACGAAGTGTTTCATCTTATGGCATTAACATATCTGCTACTAGAATGGCTGTACACTCTAAGCATAGGCCTCTACCAAGTTAAATGTATTATTGACAATTATTAACCTGGCTAACCAATCTCTAGCACATTTGATGTTGCATTCTATATTTTACAAATCCTGTGCCACCTGCAATCATATACCTCACAGATCAGACTTCATACAAAAAGCTGCCACTCAAGAACCTTTCTTCCCATTAGTTGTCAGTTTTTTGAGGTATATACAGATCATTCCTATTTTACTGGTCCATTCGGTTATGTCAGTCACTCTGATTTTACTGCATATATCTTTTTCCCAAATCATATACCTTCAGCATTACAGCCCTTCACAAGTCCACTACTGAACTTAGGCCTCCCCCAAGGAATGTCACAAAGCAAGGTCCTGAGCCACCTACATATACCTAGTTATGTATAATAGTTTTTGCCAAGATCTTTATAAAAGTCTACTATTTCAAAAAATGAATTCAGAAAAGAAATGGTAACCAAAGAACCTATTACGTTTTTCAACTTTACAAAAGAAAAATTTGACCTTTTGGCATGTCCTATTCATAAATAAAATAAAACATAATGTTAAATAAAGACCCTAAGTGAATAAAAAATATGAGCACAGCAGCCCCTAACAGGAAGAAACACCTGTTTACAAAGATGCATCCTTCTAATAAGATAAGAATATTTTATATTTTTTTATATTGTTTTAATCACATTTCCTTCTATAGGTATAGGATTCTTCCTAGGCAGCGTTTTTGTGCGTTGCTTCATAATGCTTTAGTTTTGACTAGAAAACATAATATTCCATGTTCCAGTCCACCAATCCACTTCCATCATAGTGTCTCACGACCGAGTACAAGTTTTTACAGTGAGTTGTAGGGAAATTAACTCAAATATTTGTTTCAACATTTATTGCTTTAGCTGCAGGAATGAGCTCAAATTTTTTGTTGTAGTCTGATATACAAATGTACCTATTTGCAATTGGTGATAGTTATTTAACTAATTTTGAAATCATGGTGTCATTTGTAACAGCACTATTGCTGGTAATTTACACTAAGGGGTATGAGGGGATATATGATTATCCGATTATCACTATCAACCTTGGTTACTGCAAACGTGATGACAAATCAAGGATTCAAGGAACCGCCCATTCCGTTGCTGATATAAAAAATAGTGTCTAATCTAATAAAGAAACGTTAATTTTATTAGTGCAGTAGTGAATGAGACACAAAGATATTTATATCTAGAATGGTGCAACGACACTGACGCACGTTACACCGGTTCTCTCAATCACATTTAATCGGCATCGTCATTTTATACTAACGCTGTCCCTGTCTTTAGATAAGCACTCAAAAACACAAAAACCACAAAAGGAACTCACATAAAATTGTATTGAAAATGATACGTAGAAGATTAATAACCGCCGCTATTAAATAATAGCACCAATTAATGTAAAAACCCTACAAAACCACTAATAATTTCTAAAATCTATAGCACTATAGATCAAAAATGAAATGACTGACGGACGAAACGAAATGCTTCCGGTTGGCGGCAACAATAGAGTAGTAATGTTGTTGTTACGATTAAGGAAGGCAAAGATCTTAAGCTATACAGCCTAGTATACAGCCGAATGTATCACATAATCACAATAGTATCAAAATGCGCAAAAAGCGGATAAAAATTATTGATATTTATAATATCAAAATCTCGTCATTTGTTACTTCGTGTCACAAATTCACTCAATTTTTATCGTATCAAATCAACTATTACTATATAAACTATTACTTAAACGATAATACAAGAGTACCAATCCGCTAGTGGTCCAATTGCCGCCAATACTCCACAACAAAGATTTTATTTTATATATAATCTCTGTAGCTATATTTGCGTAAAGAATTTCTTTGTCATACCATCAATTTTCAAACACTATTAAAATACATGTTAAAGTGGTAGATACATGCCGCAGCTATATTATGGTTGCAGCATGGTTCTACCAATTTGTTTGTGGTGAGTGCAGAGAACTGAAGACCCTTTTTAACGGAAACGAATAATTCCATCTTTGTGTTCAGGGGTCATATCTACATGTTGAAAAGGATTAGGCCAAATTTCCACGGAATCAAAAGCTTTCTCGTAGTCCACATACGCAAGACATAGTGGCAGATTGTAGTACTCGATCTTTTGTACAATTTGCCGAAAGGTATGGGTGTGGTCTATAGTGCTAAAGCCTTTTCGGAAACCGGCTTGTTCGGGAGGCTGGAAGTTGTCGAGTCTGCGTGCGAAACAGTTTTTCAAGAGAGCGTTGTGGCTTTTCTTGCAGAATAAGACCACCGCACTTCTACTCCACGCCCCCGGTGTAGTGCCACCATGGAGGACGGAATTAAGAAACTTCTGAAGGATTTCAAGAACCGGCTTTCCACCCGCTTTCAGAAGGTCCGCTGTAATTTCATCCTCGGCCCGTGAACTTGCCATTTTTAAGGTCCTGGGAAACCATTCCAATCTCACTCAGACTGACGTCCGGAATATCATTAGAATAGTGACGGATAATACTTGCTTTTGGATTGTTACTCACACTTCGTGTAACTCCAACGATGATGTGTACAGCTGCCCATAGAACCTCTCAATCTCACTCAAATTCTCAGGTGCCCTGAAACGATGCTGCCATGCTCGATCTTCAGCTTGGACAGTTGGCTGTTTCTAGCAGACAGATCTCTAGCAAAGACTTTGGAGCCCTGGTTTCACTCGATCACTTCATAAATAGGAGCTGTATTGAATTTTTTTTTATAGAATAGGGTGACAAACGAGCACACAGTCTACCTGATGGTAAGTGGTTGCTGTAGCCTATAGACATCTATATCTATCCTCGCTTGCGAATCAAAATGCATATAAGTTGTCACCCGTGAGGACTAATATGGAATGCCTCTTTTCCAGTAAAAAGGGTCTCCGGTTCTCTACACTCACCATACGAAACACAGCAGTTTTAAGCTGCTATTTTACGCTGGTATTCTGTGAGAGCGTGGTCGTTCCCCGGTCGAGCCGACCTAATCGTGCTACAACTATACTACTAATATAGCTGCAGCATGGCTCTACCACGCATATTGCGAAGTTGCGTGAGTACCGCCGCATGCATTTGGAAATCTATCTGTTCAGTTGCCTGTATGCTGTTAAATCTGCTGAAGGCTGCAGCTTCATTTCCCGTCTAACAGCCATGAGATTAAGAGTGTGCTCGGAGAGTTTTTGTGTTCTCGTCATGGGGGTATATTGCCATAGTTACCACACTTGGTGAGCAAGTCGGCAACCGCAGTTTTTTTATTGTTATTTTGCTGTTATGAGAAAGATGCTGCGGCCCATCTTCTGTCTCAGTTTCTTTCTATCGCCTCTTACGATACCCACGGGAAACAACAAATAAATTTGAAATACGATTCCTAACAGAAATGTGATCGTATTCTACTTAGTTCAAAATCTTGTAAATAAAGTTTTAATTTCAGTATTTTGTGTTGTTAAACTTAAAATATTTTAATTACAAAAGACAAGTATAGGTATGTAAGTAGGTACTTGGGTACTTATACTTGAAGTAAATTTGAACTGAGTTTTGTAATAAAGTACTTAGGTATTACTTCTGTAGTTAAATTATTACTTAATTCTTTTTCGCTGTAAGTACCTATCTAACAAAAAAAAATTAAATAGATTCTTAATTGAGGATAATTGTAGATGTTTATGGGCCACAACATTAACCTACCATCAGGTGGACTATGTGCTCGTTTGTCACCCTTTTCTGTAAAAAAATCAAATAAAAGACCTTACTTAAGCTGCAGTTGTAAAAACGAGAGTGATTCTGGATTTGACTCGCAAAAGTCATTAAGCATCAGCAACAGTAGATGAAATTTCTGTAATAATTGAAAACCTAAATACTAACACTAACTTAGTCTTAGACGGTATTAGTTCTAAAGCATTTAAATGCATCAAAAGTTTAATAATAGAAGAATTAACTGGCTGCATTAATAAATGTGTAAAGAATGTTTCCTGACAATCTTAAGATTGCCAAAATCACCCCAGTCTACAAATCTGGGTCAAAATTAGACCCTGGATATTACCGTTGTATATCAGTGCTACTGGTACTGTCTATAATCTTCGATAGAATGATTTACAATCGGCTTGAAATATTCTTAACGTCAATTAATTTCCTTAATATGAAACAATATGCTTTTATATCAAAATCAAATACAATATCCGCCACAGTTGATCTTATAACGAAAATAAAGCTGAATTTAGACAGGAAGAAAATCGCG